GCCAAACTACTATTATAAAACCATGATCATAATTTTTTTTAATCTCAACTTCCTCAATACAAGTAAAGGGTGAACTTATGTGCTCTTGATTATATAGTATATGATTTTAATTAGGTCAGACTCGTCATTTTTTTCTTTTCATAACTTTTTCACCTAAAAAGTCTTAGTATCTCCTCCCGCTTTTTTTCCTTTGTCTGGGTGTGTCTGTTAGATCTTCGTGCAATACAAAAAGATGTATTTCCCTTTTAAAGAGTTAAAATAGTGATGTATTTGATGTGATAGGAGAGATTTGCATGGTATAAATGTAAACAATAAAATTTAGGTGTTAGGTATGTAAATTCTTAGGAATTTGATGATCTGTATGTAAATGCCCCGAATAATAATTGAGAATCTCAAAACCAATCTGATGGCTGTCGATCAAATTTTAATCATAAGAAAACTTAAAAAAAAATTAATATAAATCTTATTTGATTAATTATATTTTATACTTAAAAATCCAATAGCTATAAACCAATTAAATCAAAATAAAATTATGATTTATAATATATTATATTAAATGATCCTTGTGATAATGATCTTTATTGGGCTCTACATCATATTAAAATGTAGCACTATTTAGCTACATGAAGTTCTTCATCACCAACCATTGATTAGTTTTAAATATAACATCTCATTATCTTTTTTTTTTCATAAATAAATGGGCATAGCAATTGTCATTGGCTAATTTAATCAAGTGTTTAATTTTATTTAATTTTTAATTAAGATTTGATTTGAGTTCTTGCCGACACAGTTATTTTTAGTTCTTAACAGATTGCATAGCTTGGGGTCACAAAGAACTTAAGCCAAAAATATAATAAAACAACTAAAACAACTCTTAATTATGATTAATAATGAAAAGAGAGACGCTTACAGGAAGCTAAACTCTTAAGAAGGAGTAGGCTTCAAGATTATTTCTTGTGTGTCTTCTCCTTCAAACTAGACCTCTAATTTAAATGATATTAAGTTAGCATGAGATTGAAAGTAGTCGAGGTGATTCTTTTCTTAAGGAAAAGAGAGGTGGATTGAATGATCGTGAATTGATTGAAGATTGAAGATATTTGAGGGTAGCCCTTATCCTTACTGGATATTGATAAATGAATTGGAGTTATTACACAATAATAAAAGAAAAAATTCGCTCATTGGCGGAAACAAGTGAAGACAATTTAATTGAAAATTGGGAATGTAAGAGGATTAAGAACTATTAGAAGAATAGAGTGAAGTTCTTGATGGTGTTAAAAAGGCTTTTGAGTTTTCAATATTTTGTGCATTTTCAATATCTTAAATAAGTCGAGGGATTCTAGTCTTTATTCATTAGTACATAAGATTATTTTATAATTTTGTCACAAATAAATGCACCAGATCTTACCCTCCACTACTAAAATATTGATGGGATTTTTCTCCTTTGGTTGGCCTATTTAAGCTACAATAATGGGTTAGGAGGAGCATCTACTTTTGATAGTGGTGTTCTAATTGCCTGCTTGACATTTAGTTGCCGAATAAAATTAACAATATGTTTTAGATCTTTGTGCAATTGATCCAAGGAGTAATCAAACAAAAATTTTGAATTGTGGAATGAAGCTAATAATTCTAAGATGAATATGGTCACAAAAATAATGTTCAAGATATGTTTTTATTGCCATATTTCTTAAAATTTTCATCACTTTTTAAACAATTATATGCCACAAATAACTCTATGAATAATAGATCAATAGAAGGCTATATGTGCTGGAAAGTCCAAAATTTTGATGATTGTTCCACCCTTGGATGAATGTACTTTATATACAAATTAAAGAAAAAAAGGAAGAAAATGAGTTTGTTCAGCAGTAAAACAATTTGACTTAAGTTAGTTCAGTTAGTTCAAATTTTCAAATAAAAAGTGTGCTTAAATACAAATAATGTTAGTGGTATTAGAATTATTGCATTATAATGATTGGATTGGATCAACATTATAAGAATTTTATTTGGTACCTAAAATAAATTTTTAAAACTATGATTTGAGTGATTTAACTTCTTGGAGTGCTTTAATGTTTACTTTTTATATCAAATCTTATGCTTAATTACATGGGATATCTTAGTTTTTGACTTCAAATTAATTTTTGTTTTCCAATATATATTGGGACTTCAGATAACTGTTCTATGAAATGCAACATAGGAGAAGTTTTTAGATGTGGCAAATCCCTAGTTGCCCATATAAACCTTCCCTAAGTGTTGTGAACTAAGTTTTTTCTCATATGTATTATACATTTCACTCGTACAAAAGCTTTAGATTTTGTAAGATCTACACTATCTGAATTAAGAGTGAGATTTCTACAATTTTATTATCTCTTGATATGCGTTAAAGTTTTTATTAAGTCATAATATGTATTCCACAAACTAAATAAATTGTGACTTCAAATTTGCGCCCAAGAAAAATTAAAAAATTTGACATTTATTGCACACTACTTATTAGTCAATTCATCGAACTATAAGAGAACTTATTGGTTGAATTTTGGGTCAATCTGGCGTGCATTCATGAATTACTTTGAAGTGTAATGGCTTGCTAAAATCATTTTGGAGAAGCTTTTTTGTTAATTATATTTATAATTAGTTAATAAGCAATCTTAGGGAAGATACAACTTGTATCATTATAAGGCTTCCAATGTACAAGTGGTTAGTTTTAAATTTCAATGTTTGTAAAATGGAGGCTATCCATTAAACATTAACAAATAAAATTAAAAATAATCTTTGGCATAAAATGTTTGATAAAGTTAAGCAATTTCTATTAATATAAAGGGAGTTTAGTAGCTTTTTATAAAATACTACTTGATTTGGGTGGTCTCTACAAACTTTATCTTCTCTTAGGCTTTCTGAAAGCTCAATAGTCTGAGCCTATCTAGGACTTTCAATAAGGTTTCTATCAAAGATTCTTTGAAGCTTACTTTTTGGTGAGTCCTAGTGAAACTATTGGACTAAAAAAAAACCTTATTTTCTCACTACTCTCTTAGATTCCATGCTTTAATAAGCATATATATTATATTTTAGCGAGGACATTGACTAATACAAATGCCCCGCATTGTTCTCTGATTTTTTAGAACTTCATAAACTCGTATTTTAGGTGAACGACTCATATGCTTTACTGAGCTTACTAAATTATAAGTGAGAAGAGGTTGAGGTAATATCAACCTTACTAAAATTTTATCAAGATGAGTTTTTTTTTTTTTTTTAAGATTAATACAACGTATCAAAATAAAATAATTCAAATGTTACATTAAACAAAAAAAAAGATTTTAAAATTTCCTGTGATAAAATTTTAATCAATATTGCCATATTTTTTGTTTTAGAAGTGAAGGTCTAACAAAATACATGTTGATGAATGCAAAAGGAACTTACTTAATAAACTAAACCTCTAGATTTTTATAAGAAATTACAGCTTTGTCATGCATTCAATGGTGAACCAAGGAATTAAAGCAATCAAAAGACTCCACCCCTCCCTTGGAACCCTCTGGCATTCAACCAATAATTTCTAACCCATATAAAAAAAAAATGTCAAAAAATTTACCCAATAGTTAAAAAAAACATTATTTCTTTACTGCATATAACTTCATGGAATGTTAAGAGGTTGTTATGTGCTTGATAGAATCCTTCATTGTGATGACCTCATTTAAGCATGTCAGTGTTGTCTTTTTATGCCCCTAAATCTAAAAATAGCCAATCCAAACTTAACGACTATTTATTTGTTCATTCACACAAATATTTTAATTTCGAAGGAAGTTATAGCATATAGGTTAAATGAAACTCCTCTCATTCTCTTCACCCCAAAAATTTTTGATGAATAAGTTATCCATATATTATCCATTGCGGCCACTCTATAGTTTTTTTTTTTCTCTCCTTATACTAATTGGATCTAATTTCCCTCTATCCCTCCATAATTTCCAAGCTTTTAGATATTTGGATCACTTCTCTATTATAATTCCTTTGATGTGTACCTTTTTTGTTTACCACATGCATCTTCTTACCTTCTTAGGACTAATATTACTCAAACTTTGTCTTATCCATATGAGTTGGAGGGAGTCTCAAAATTTGTAAGAAAGTTACCACTTACCATCTATTTGTTGCCTTCTTTGTCATATTTGATGAGCAAAGAAATCATTGAAAGTTCAACAACCACTCTTCCCCTTCTCTATTCTACAAAATCTATCACACCCTATTATCCAAAGTATGAAAATAGAAGAGATCATGAAATTCGGCTCTCTTTTTTTTTGTTGCATGGATTTTTAGTAATGTAGATATAGTAGTACTAAAGTGTTATATTTGAGACATTAAAATAGATTAAGGTGTTTTAACACTAAGTGTAAATATAAGATTTTAGTTGTGGAATGTGCAAATAAATGTTTTGAGTGCTACTTACGTAAATCGTTCTTAATAATATCCTCGGACCACGAGTCAATAAACTATTCAGCCGACAATTCAAATCACAACAACCCGAATAAATATCCGCTTCTCCACCGCCGGCGAAGTAACTCCGGCGATCCTCGTTTCCACCTTGCTCCCAGAGCTTAAACCAATATTAAAATTCAAGTATTCCTTCCATGCATTGCACAGCGAGAAAAGAGATAACGCACAAAACAAATATATCTGCCAAACCGGCCGGCAGTAGCTGAAAGCTTTAAAAACCTCGTTGTCGATTGCCTCGCCCCCTTTTTAATTTCTTATAACCCGAGGAGGAAGAAAGTAGTGTTCTTTAAGAAAGAGACGTGAAAAAGACCTCTTTTTTGGCGCCATCTGATTCCTATTTCCCAGCGGCGAATGGCAGTCAGCTCTCTAACTCTCTGTGAACGCAAAAAAGTCGATTTTGAAACAGAAATATAAAAATTCGAAGCAAAATTATCACCATTGATCAAATATTGAATCGAAGAAATCGATTCCTACTGAAAAAAAAAAAGTTTTTTTTTTAAATAATTTTTGTTTGAAAATGCTCGCTTTTATCCTCTACCGTCAGTGAGAAATCAAACTTCTGGTCAAAAGCAATGAATTTAATACACATTTCGATCAAGGCATTCATCCATAACAGGATTTCTAACTGATTATACTAGAGGAGACAAAATGTTCAGTGAATCAAACAGCCCTGTCTTGGGAAGGAGTTGTGAGAGATCGCTTGCAGTGAGCAATGGCGCTCTGGATCCCATCCTGCTGCTCTAAAAAGGAATCATCTCGCCGCTGCGGCGTAATGGCAACCGGCGAAGTGACGTTAGTGGACATCGCCGACTTGCTTTTCCTCAAATGCTTGTAAGCAACCCTTATCCGTGAAGAAACGGCTGGTTTCTGTCTCTTCTTTCCTGTTTTCAAGCTCTCCTCTGCTTCCTTTTCTTCTCCTTCCCACCGCTCCGCAGCTGAAAACCTCAGCTTATCAGAGTATCTCTTCGAAACTCTAACATACAGCGGCTTGATCTTGCTGAGATACTTCTGAACCACTTCCTTCGAATTAACCGTTCTCTCCTCCGGCGAGGATTGCGAGCCGGCGATGGGGTTCCTGCAACTGCTTTCTCGAGAGAACAGTGAGGCGATCGGCGCTTCGTCCACCTTAATGAAAAACTTGCTCGAATGAGAGCTCTGCTTCGGCGAACTCAAAACGTGCTCCGGAGAATGAGTTTTGGGTTTCCGAAACCGAAGCATGAGAACACGCAATCTCGTGGCCGATTTGAGAAAGGAAACGGTGAACTGCGGCCTGAGATCGCTCTCCGGAGCGCTAAAAACTCTTCCTTTGAAGAAGAGATCGTCGGAGGGTGAAATGGGAAGGTTGCGATTCGATTGGCACTCACTCTCATCGGAAGAAGTCATCGATAAGCTGAAATCCTTTTCGTCGTCGTGGTGTTTCTCTCCCTCTTGCGCTCCACTCTGGCTGATCGGGACGGTGAACTCTAGATCGAAGAAGGGGCCATCGTCGTCGGATGCTTCATCGATTGTCTCCGGAGGAGAAGAAATGGCGGCGGCGGCGCGTATGGTGGATACAGCGGCGGCGCCGCCGCCTCCTCTCCAGTACTTGAGGAGGGGGAAGGACTCCATGGTTGGGAGAGCCAGCGAGTTTGCTCTGTTTCTTTACTTGCAAGGGGGTGAGAAAGGGGAGAAATGTCGTGCGTTGCAGGGGAAGACTAATAGCTCTGAGAACTGGAAGATGGAAAAGGGAGCGCGCGCGAGACCTTAGACTGCGGAGGAATTGATATTGGTTTGAAGTCCGGTGAACACGCTGATGGAATGAGTCACGTGACACGGCTGTGTGGAGAAATATTTAGGATCCCTTTCATGCAGTTTATAAGTGTGGACAATATTTTTAAAACGCCGCCTCATTATTTAGAAAATACGTTTCGGCAGTTTATCTGAAAATGCGGTCGAGTTTTTACACTAAACACAGACCGCGGGTTGAAACCCGGGGCCGCCCACAGTTCGCGTTTCAGGATAAGCTGTTTATCTGGATAAGCACAAGTTGCCCCAAACACACCCTTAGTCTCAGATGTCGGACGACCAATCGTCAGGTGTCATGTCCTCTGATGTCGATGTACATGATCATATGGTGCTCAACGATTGGACTTCCGGACGTGCAGTGTCTGAATTTAAAATCTTCTCATATAATGAAGAAAATACTACATATTTATAAATATGTGCTTATCAGGATAGATAGAGTTTTGTTTGATTTCCAACAAAAAAAATAGTATTATGAGGGAACATGATGCCAGTGTAGGATTTTAGCTAAAATGTATAAAGTGGGAGGTTCATTTGTGGGGAGGGCCGTTTGATTTGCTGCAATATATACATATATATATATATATATTTACTGTAAAGTATTTTTAGATATAAACAATTTATAGATACTTGAAATTTATTTTCTAATTTGTTTTTAATATATTTAAAATTTGTTAAAATTGAATAAATTTTAAATATATTGTTTTATGTAATGTTACTTTTACTATTGACCCTTGTAGCATGTTAGCAATTGTTGCCCGCCACTAGCCATCAACCAACTGGCCTCTATTGTCACCTGACGGACACAAATTTTATATTAATTTTATTTTTCTTCGGTCTAAATGAGAAAAAAATAAGCCATCTTTTTATTTCAAACTGAGGGGTTGTTTGTTAAGCTGAAGTGAAGGATCTTCTAAAGAATTGAGCCTTCTCTCATCTTCCCCCCACTTCTGCTTCACTTTACTTATCCCCCAGTTAGGGCACGAGCCTTCCCTCCTCAACTCTTCTCCTCTCTGAACAAGTTGACGAAAAGTCACGACATTTCACCCTCATGACCACAATAACACTCCCGATACGCCCGGTAGTTGGGAAGGAATGTCGGGATCGATTTCCAAAGACCCCCCAAATCCCCAAATTTCACTACCGCTTTAGAGTTTTCATTCCACTCCTACCCAAAACCATTGATGATAAGGTAACCCTTGTTTTTGTCGTGCTTCCTCCCACCCGCCTTTTGCCTTCACTTCACACGCTTCAGATTCTCATCAATGAATTTAAAGTCACTATTTCGTTGTTTGTCAAGATATAGGTTAAATCGAGCATAAATCATGCTCGGTGCTTACATACATACTAATCAATTGCTTGTACTCGCATATCTAACACCTAACGTTTCTACTAAGAGTTTGTTTTGAGCAGTTGCAGCCTCAGAGTCCCCAAATTTCAACTACCAATATCAGAGCTTCCATTCCACTTCTGCCCAAAACCATTGATGATAAGGCAGCCCTTGTATTTGTCTCGCTTCCTTCCACCCTCCTTCCACCTTCACTTCACGCGCTTCAAATTCTCATCCATGAATTTAAAGTCATCGTTTTGTTGTTTGAATAAATATAGGTTAAATCGAGCTTAAATCATGCTCAAGGCTTACATACATACCAATCAATTCTTTGTATTCACATATCTAACGTCCAAAGTTTCTATTATGAGTCTGTTTTGGGCAACTGCAGTTGTTTGAAGTAGTTGTAAAATTATTGCAAAAGAAACTGTTTTTTGAAAAATTACGGTGACTATTACAAATTTATTTCATTTTCACAAGAATCATAACACAACTTTTTTACATCAAACAACCATACTTTAACGGTTCTGATTGAAAAAAATAAATTTATACCATAAAATTCTTAAAAATCAACAATAAAACAATTCTCCAAACAAACTATATTAACAGGCTAAAAAACAAAACAAACAGAAAACTATCCCATACTGACCCTAAATCACTGTCTCTCAAACTAAACTTCAACAAAATGCAAGTTTCAATTATATTAACTTGAAAATAATTTCAGCAAGATTTAAGATTAAATTTCAGCAAAATAAATGTTGGATTCCAGCAATATGGAAGTATTATTTCAGCATGACTGGTTTCAATATTGTGTAAAGCAATTTGAAGAACATTAACCCAATTTAATGATTTTAATTATGTTTAAGTAAAATAATACAATATGTAAGCAAAAAAGGAAAGTTTGCAATACAACTTTCGGCGGTAATGAAATAGGATTAGCAGCTAATACGACTTAGTAGATTATAGCTAAGGTTAATGAAAATATATTTAAATCATTACATATATGAAATTATAATTAATTTTGTAAATAAGCCATAAGGAAATGATTATAAAATTATAAACAAATATACGAATTTGATTCTCATCATCTTCATCTTTCGCCACATTCACATTTGCAGCATATATAAACATTGCTTCACTGTAAATATTTTTTTATTTTTCTGCAAAATTAACTTTGTGAGTGTGTTTTATGTACTTAATATATTTATGACTAAATAGAACATTGGGCATTTACATACATACAACACGTTCTTATATGTTTACTACTCTTGCAAAGCAACTTGTTAAACTAAGAAGGATTGTGTGTATTATGTAGTTTACATGTTATATTGACATTAACTTTCCTTGTTGTTGCCGTTGTAGATGAGAGACTATTTTCTACAATGAAGATTGTCACATCGATTGTATGGTAAAATTGCGATAATTGGATTAACGACTCTCTTATACCGTACATTTGGAAAGTAGTATTTGACGTGATTCCCAAAAAAAAAATTTATGCAGAATTATCAAACAATGAAAAGTTCAAATACAACAATCACTTCAGCGGAGATCAAATTCAAATCGACTTTCTCCAAATTCACTAAATTAATACCCAGGTTCGACCAACTGATACTCTCACTAAACCGTTGCCAAGATAGAAGTTTAAATTATGCGATCCAAGCTTCAGGTTTGCCCCAAAACCCATAAGCTCGAAGGGGGTAATAATGCTAGCGGAATAGATCACACTATGATATTTCCACGATGCAATATAATGGCAAGTAATATAATTTCCTGTATCTTGAAGCTTCACTTACTCTCATGTAATAGGTAAAGATTGTATATGATGCTTTTGATGAGACGGATTATTGGTCGGCTTTCTTGTTGTTTTACTTCTTCTAGGTGTCGATTGCAAGTTATTAGCAACAACACATAGTAAATATAAAAGCTTCATTACACATCTTATCACTCATCAACATTTGTATTCTCTATCATTTTCATTATTTTGTTAAATAGTGCATTGATGGATGTAATAAAGTTTTGTTTGACTTTTTTTAGGTATAATTACATATTTAACACTCAAAATATTGCTATTTACAAATTAATCATTCAAAGCGTTTATTGGATTAAGAGCCCGTTTGGGGCAGCTTATAAGTGCGGCAGCGTTTTTTAAAACGCCGTCTAACCATTTAGTTTGCTCTTTTTTAAAAACACTATCTGCTACATTTGTACGCGTTTCATGATAAACTGCTTATCCTGAGACGCACAAGCTGCATCAACCAGACCCTAAAATGAAAATTTTGAATTAGCGTTTTATTAAATTTCTAAAAAACAGAATGCAATAGTTGTAAATAACACAATCTCAGGTGTTTATATGCAAATTCTCCAAATTATTTATTTCGTCGTGTGGGATTGAAAGCGTGGTTAGGTTAACTTCAAGCTCCAAGCTATCGTGTCAAATCAGAACTCGCCACGTTTCTGTTTAGGCTAACAAACGCCGTCAAATGCCATTGGAAACCGTGTGAGAAAGTTAACGGCGTTATGTGGAGCTCATATATGGGAACGAACCAGTCCACTGAGTTGGATCGAAGATTCTAGAGAGAGAGTGAGAGATCATCGGAGATTCTTAGATTTTGGCGATGGCGGAGAAGTCTGAGACGCTGATGGAGAAGATAGCGGATAAGATCCACGCACACCACGATTCATCTTCGTCGGATTCCGATGATGATAAGCGCAGGCCTTCGGATTCGTCCAACAAGTCTAAGATCTACCGCCTCTTTGGCAGGGAGAAGCCTGTTCATCAGGTTCTCGGTGGGGGAAAGCGTATGGATCTCTTCATTTTTTCTCTATTTTATGTCTTTTGTTCTATCCGTAGCTTGGATTGAAGCGGAAGAGATTTGAATTTTTTGGGGGTTTTGGTAGCGGAAGTGGTTAGTCTTATGTTTAATTTATAGCTTTGATCATGCGAATATGGGTTTTTTTTAAAAAAATAAAGGGTTTAGGGTTTTTTTCTGCTTTAAAATTTGGGATGGACTCTACGCCATACCGTTATAGGTTTTAGGGGTTTTGATGTGCGAAGTGTTCATCGATCTGTACATTACTATTTCTCCGGAAATGCAATAATGCTGTTTGAAAAAGAAGAAAATTTTAATTGTTACTTATTTTAGGTAATGTGATGCTCAAATGGTTGATCATTAGTTTTCTATGAGAAAATTTTCTAGTAACGGAAATGGGTGCCAAAGTTTTTACCTAACTACACGGCGATGCTTAAAATGGCTATCTTTACTGGTGAGGAAAGAAGCCAAATTTAATGATATTGTTTGCCATATTCGCCAACTTCACCCAAGATGTCAGCTTTCCTCTTCTTTTTTTTTTTTTTTGGTTCCTTGTCCTCTACTTCACTTGTTTGGAATCTGGGTAAGATGAATTGGAACTTTTTGCTGCTCATGTGTTTGATGGCTTGGTTTTGTATGCTTTGCACCTATTTGTTTTTTTTTTCTTTCATATGCGTACACATGGATGGGTATCGATGTGATTTCTATGTTTTAGACGGGCAACATTCCTTTCAAGATGATTTAATTTGATAAATAATATTGACAACTTTTATTGTTTTAAACTTGTTATTTGAAATTCTTATTTGGATGTCTTTGGAAGGGATTTATTCCTTGGCATTAGGAAGCATATGAATCTGTCTTTTCCAATTTTCTCATTTTCTACCTTCTGAATTTTTAACTACAGGCTAGTATGAAATTGATTTGATTTGAAGAAATTGCATGGTGGTATGTGTGATTTGAATTGTGACTAATTGATGCATTGGAAGTGCGTAATTTATGGTTAATTTATTCTTTTGAATATGTAAATAGTTTCTTTTTATATAGTAACTAATTGTAAATAATTTAAGGTCCTAATGTTTTCTTGGCTCCATCATCCATAATAGCTTTGACTCACAAAAAAAGGTCATTAGATCAAATATATATTAGACACAGTTTTTACATCTCAAAACACCCAATAATTGATTTTGATATTCTTTGGCTATTTTTAAGCAACTTTATTGTTAAGATAATTAAGATTGATGAGATGAAACTAAAGTACCACGAACGCTTGGCATCAAGTCCAATTGTGTAAGTTAGGCACTGACACATGTAATTGGAAACTTTTAAAGGCCATGTGAATGTCTAGTATTTTATGAGTTTTGTGTGCGCTTATAGTTGAATTGAGCGTTTTGATGAGATTAATTATGCAAATTAAACATAGATAAATTTTAAAATTCACATGTCCAAAAGATATCATGATCAAATGGAATTTTTTCATATCGTCTGATAATGTATTTAGATATTTGACATAAATAATTGATATGCCCCTTAACTAATTTATGAATAGTTTTTATTTTTACACATTTAAGGTAGAATTTTGAGCTCAGAGAAATCAAACTTCTGTTATAATATCCATGGCACTACACACCATCAACCAATACATACTTATAATTGATGTATGATGTCCATTTTCCATTGATGTTTGACTCTATTCTTTAGCTCTTGATCTCCTCTCGTATTAGGAGAATGACAAATCAACTACCTACCTTTGCCTGCCTTTCAATATTTCTAGTCGCTTGTCATTTTATGCCTAGTAACTATTGAACTTCAATATCCCTCAGTTGTGGATGCCCACTGTCCATCTTCTAGGCTCCTCTAACTTGCTTTTGATGGAGGATGTGAGTGGAATTCTAATCATCATTTTACTGGAAGGACTATCACACCTTCCATAAGGAGTATAACATTAAGTTTTGCCTATCACATTAATAACAACACAAATAAATAATTTCCAAACTCCACATGTTTATATATAAGTGTCGGCGATAAAAAGTAGGGTTGGGGGCGGAATTGCCCGTAGGAAGCTGTCGGTCACCGAAATCGAAATCCCGTCGCCCGCTTCGGAATGACGCTTTAATTTACATATAGATTTAAGTTTAAAATTAAATTGACCCCATATTTTTTATAATTTAAATGAAAGAGCATTCTACTTCAAACCCAATATCTATCCCGAGGGATAAACACAAAACTTGAGGATGAGATTAGATCAAATAAACTAAGAAATACATGACGTTCGTTTGGTCTGCGAAACCGTTTTATTTGCTAACAAATACCCCTATTTAATATGAAAAATTAAATAGAGTTTATTTTAAGCTAGGTTCGAAAAAGCTTTCTATAAGTGCAAACCTCTATAGTTAATTACACCTTAAATGACCGAAGTCACTTAAGAATGCTCTCGATAAAAATCAGGAAAAATTATCTTCAAGAACTTCAAAAGAATGAGACTTTTCAACGAAATCGGGCAAAGAGGTGTGAAAGGGGAATGACTCAAGTTTGGAACATTTATTACAAAATTCAAAGAAAGAAGAACTAGGAGATGCCGCAGATCCAGAGAAGATCCTCGGTGACTTCCTAGTCTACCCTATGGTTTGACTTCAGTTTTGAGGAGAAATTATTCAAATGTTTCATCCTGTCAATTTTATTTAATTGGGGCTTATATTCGTGTGAAACGATCGCACAAACAGCCCGAAAGATGTGAGGATTTAGGTCGTAATGAACGACAACATCAGAATCCTAAAACGAGTTAGGGCTTAGATCGTACAACAGAGCTATACAAATGTCTAAAGAAAAGGTTGAGCATTTATGTTGCGCTAGGCGAACAACCTCGAAATTCTATGAATTGTTGTTTTAATTTCTAGGAAATGAATAGTTTAGCTGGGGAAAACATGTTCTGCTGTTGAAGATGGTCGTGTTGCCCACCGTGCTAGTTTCAAGCTCATTGTCGTGACGAGTTTAAGTTTTCTAGGGTGTCAAGTTATGATGTCAAATCCAACGGCCTATAGTTGTAGTTCTTCAGATATTTTATAAATAATATGCTGAAATTGTATAGTGTATAACATAACAGTAGAATATGTAACACAAGAGAAGCAGTAGAGTATGCAGTAAATAAAACAGTACAACATGCGGTGTAAAGAGTAAAGAAAAGTAAAAAAAGGTACAGCAGGGAAGTGATTATAAGAGAATAACATACTGTAAACATAAAACAGATTTGTATACTTGGGAAATCCGCTGTTCCATAGGTGTAATTGATGCAACAAGTACAAGCAACAAAGCTTGAGAAAACAGACAGAAATGTTTTATATAAACGAAAACAAAGAAACGTCGTCGAGAAATCTCGAGAAAGATCGTCAAAAGACTCACGACAAGAGAAATGCGAGGAAATCGACGAACCGAAAAATCGATTAAAATCGTAGAAAACACTGAAAAATCCCGAAAAGAGGCCACAAGTGCTTTGTCCAAAAAAATCCCTAGAAAACATGTGAAAAAAATCTGAAGAGGGGGATCGCAAGCACTCGGGTCGGGGCTAGGCTCAACTATATATTAGTACTCGAGGGTCGAAGGCTACTCGGTCACCCGGATGTATAAAGCCCGCCACTCAACTAGAAGGGTGTCCTATCAAACCTAACTCAGGAGGGTACTCCTTAGCCCGAACAGATGATCAACAGGTGGAAAATCGATGTTTAAAATGTATTTAAAATTTATATTTTCAGCATGCACATAGGCTTCAAACATGTCAAACATGCAAGCTTCAAACATGCAAAAAGTGGGTTGTATCAATTTTGTTTGTAGTGAAAAATGTATTTTTGTTTTAGAAAAAAGTGTATCTGTTTTTATCAAATTTGTTTTTATCAATTTTGAATATTTGTCCACGAGTCGATCGCGCTTTCGGATATAAGGCTACCAACAACTTAAGAAGGTTCGGATCAACTCCTGCTAGTCTTGTGTCGGTGAATGATATTGTCATCCTACAACTCACCGGGCTCCTGAATCGGATCCTGATGGGTTCCTGAATCGGATCCCGATGTCGTAGGATGACATATGATTTTGCTCTATCTCCGGTGTGCCTTTGTTATCACCGCCCTAAGCCCCAAAACAAAATCGACCTACTTGTGACCTTGCTTGATGGTTTTACGTATAGTAAAAGGCTATACGTGGACACTTATGTATCGGACATAAGCATAAAAAACTGAACTAAGAAGCAAGGAAAAAAATAACAAAAATAGGGTGAGAGAGGAGGGACTAATTCACCTAAAACATCGAAAAGAACAAAGAATGAATCAACTCTCAAAACTCGTGACGAAAAAGCCTGAAAAGGAAAGCCCGAAGATCCTTAAATCAATTCGAAAGGGTATCATTTTCTCACGTTTTCATAAGTGGATCAACCCAAGTCAAAATGACCTCCTAACGCCGATATCCAAACCCATATCAAAATTAATATTTTCCAACTGTCGAATTAACCAATAGCCTCATATATCACATGAACCTAAAATCTTTCCACAGGGCCAAATAAGTGGTTACGGCCGGGTTCAATTAAAAAAAGAGGAAACAACCACCTAGGCTTTCGGTCAAGGCAACCCAAAGAACAAGAGAAGCTCACGACCAAGGCAACCCAAGACACAAGAAGCTCACGGTCAAGGCAGGCCAGACTAGCTATATAAAGATCTTTAATATACATAAGAGAGTGCAAAATATAATCATAATTTCAATCCACCTACAACCATCCCAGTAGTTCAAGCCTAACAAGCAGGACTAAATCCCTAACAAGCAGGACTAAATCATATCACGGGTAAGGACTGCAAGAGGAGCAAATCTCAATGGTGAGCTCACGGGTAGGACCAAAAAGGAGGCTAACTCAACCGCTTCACAAACCCACGGCAAGGAGCCAAACAAATATCAAAACTGCAGCTTTATAAGCTTCCAAACCAATCCATCAAAACCAGCCAACAGTCCTCG